CAGGGTGAGTGCCACCTGTAACCAGCCAGCCTGGGTGGACACGGCCTTAGGCTATGTCCTCAGGGCCAACCCTGTCTTGGAGGACAGTCCTTGGATGGTAGCAGCCTCGCTCTCTTTGCCCATTCCCAACCACCTGGCAATCCTGCAAAAAGTAGCAGACAGTCTACACTGGGAATGCCAATCAAACACTCCTGGGAAAGGACACAGCTGGCACCGTGGCTTGAATGTCCATGCCCCTCTAAAATTCATATGTTGAAACCCAATCACCAAGGTGAAGGTATTAGAATGAGGGACTTTGGGGAATTTGATTAGGTCATCAGGGCTTTGCCCTCACGAATGGGATTGATGACCTTACAGAAAAGGTTCAGGCTAGTGTTCTGGCTCATGCCTATAGTCCCAGCACTTTGGAAAGCTAAGGCAAGAGGACTGCTTGAGCCCAGGAGTTCAAGTCTGCATTGAGCTATGATCACACCACTGCACTCCAGCCTAGGCAACAGAGCAAGACCCTGACTCAAAAAAAAAAAAGAAAAAAAGAGAGAGAGAAAATAAAAGTTTCAGGGAGCTTCTCACAACTTTTGCCTTTTTGCTATGTGAAGACACAGCAAGAGGCACCATTTGGAAGCAGAGAGCAGCCCTCCTCAGATGCTGAATCTGTCAGCGCCTTGATCTTGTACTTCCCAGCCCCCAGAACTGTGAGAAATACATTTCTATTCTTTATAGAATAAAAGTCTCAGATATTTTGTTATTGCAGCAACAACAGCCTGAGACAGCAGGAAATGTGTCCAGCCCAGTCCCGAGAGGTCAAATCTAAACAGAGGAAGGTTGAACAATGTAAGCTCCCCAAAGGCAGGCCATCTCCAAACCCCCAAAGACTGATTCTTCACCGTGGTTCTTATCGGATGCAGAAATACCCAGAAGACTGGGAAGAGAGGGTAGAAGTGGTTCATTCCAAGACTCTCTTGTGAAACATAGTCTAAGCTTACCGGGAATCCTTGGAAATGCCAATCAAAGATTTATGGTTAAAAGAACAATCAAAACAGCAGTTGCCTCTGGATACGGGGGTAGAGATCGACTGGGAGAGGCACGAGGGAACTTTCTGGGGTGATGGTAAGATTCTGTACCTCGATGTGTATGTTGCACTGTATGTAAGTTTTACTTCAAAAAATGTAAACACATATTCAACCCTAGAGCAGTGCTGTCCAATAGAGCATTCTGGAGAGATGAAAATGTTCTGCATCTGTGTTGTCCAATAGGGTGGTCTGTGGCCACTTGTGGCCATGAAGCACTGGACACCTGGCAACGGAATCTGGTACCATTACACACAGACCCTCCCCCTGTGGCTTGGGCAGGACTACAGTGACTTTCTCAGTAGATACAAAGGCGGATTCTTGGGTACACAGTGGATAAGGGCCTCACCTAAGGTCACACACAGCACTAAGATGTCCAAGGGTGGACATCTCTGAATCTCCCGATTCTGGGGTGTGAGCTTGTTCCCCTCACAACCCAGAGAGAGAGAAGCCTTAGGGCTGGGCAGGCAGAGCACACTGCAGGCGTGAAGCCCAAGTGTCTCAGTCATGGCCAGAAAGACTGGTCCCAGCTCAGAGAGGGTGCACTTCCCTTTCAGAAAGGGGACAACCTCAGTCTAGTGATGAGACGCTTGTCCATTTTTACAGTTTAAATGTTATAAAGCCCTTTCACACACCTCCCTTCCTCTTTCCCTCCCTTCCTCCCTTCCTTCCTTCCTTCCTTTCCTCTCTTCTACCCAGGTAGGTAGCAAATAAGGAATAAGAGTAAAATGTCTAGAATTTAGAGTCAGACTCGCAGGGCTTGAATTCTGATCCACCAGGCATATGAGCATATGAGATGGTGCGTTTTAACCTTTCTGTACCTCAGTTTACCAACTTGTAAAAAAAAAAAGGAATCATTGTAATAGTACTTGCCTTGCTGGGATGTCAAGAAAACTAACTAAAACAATCCACACTAACCCTTAGCATCATCATTATCATTGACCTGTTATTTATCGAGCGTTGTAAACAACAAAGCTAGAGCTGGAGTCGAGACCAGAGGCCGGTTCCGAAGCCCAGAGCAGGGCAGAGTCCCGGAGAATTGAGCGAGCTGGAGCTGGCCGGAGCTCACACAGAGGAGAGGACAGTGTTATATTTGAGATTCACAAGGCCGCAGGACAGAGAGACAGAGTCACCGAGGCTGTAATTATCAAAAGGAGTTTTATTGTCTAGCTCGAGCTAGGGTCCGAGCCCCCAGAGTGCCAGTGCAGTGGCCTCTTCTCTGGGCAGGGACCCTCCTTTGTGTGTTAGTCCCCTTTTTATAACTCAGTTGTTTACACACTGGTCATGCATCCGCCCCCACGGTGATTCTTACTTCATCCTGCCCCTGATAGGCTCTAACCTGTTCCGGGTCCTAGCTGAGAGACTCGGGTTTCCGTGTTCTTTGTCTTTTTCCTCTACATCCCATAATGTACTCATAATGCCTTGCCTTTAACAAACGAGCAGTAAACAGAAGCTGGAAGGTGTCCATTGTCCTTATAGCCCAGTATCTTACAGACGGAGCTTGTCAACACTCTCCTCCCTGGCAACCCCAGCGAATGTCTCAGCTCCATCCTGCACTCAGCTCCAAGGTGTTTGCCCTCAAGAGGGATTTCCTTTTGGTCACAAATCTTTTGCTTGAGAAGGGTCTCCTTCCTGAGCCGGCTGGGAGACGAACCCCTGGGATCACCACCGTCCTTCATGCTCGTCTCCCGCTGCCCGGCAGGCCCCACGCCGGCCTCTTCCCTTTAGGAGCTGCGGCCAAGAGGGGAGCTGGACAGGGTCCGAGGGAGGCAGGACAAAGGACCTCTGGGCCCTCCTGTCTTCCTGCCAGCCTGTTAGGTTGAGAAATAGAAAAACCAAACCTGTGTATGTGCACATGGTCTGTGCACGTGTCTGCAAAAGAGAGAGAGAGAGAGAGGCAGAGAGGGTCTTTACAGGGTATTGCACTTATGAGCTAATGTGATCCTTATAAAACCCTAGGAGGGCAGGCATGTTTCTTCCTGAATTCTGATATAAAGAATTGAGTCAGAGAGGGGCTGAACGACCTACCCGGGACCAGCTGTATTAAAGGTCACTGCGAGTTATCAGCACCCCGTCAACTATGAGACGTCTGAAAAGTTCCTTGGGAAGTAATACCTTTAATCGAGAAGAGCATTGCTGAAGTCACAGCCAGGTGTCTGTGCAACAGGGCGCTGCTGGCTTCACTTCCCCTGGCCCTGGCCCCAGGCACTGCCAATATGCCATCTGTCCCTGTCGGAGCACCTTCCCCAGTTGATGGATGGCGCGGTCAGTGCTGGGGAGCAGACTGTTATGTAGAACCTCGCTGTGCTGATACGGAGCCTGGGGCAGAAGGGGCCGGTGTTGGAGGAGGAGGGGGAGGGCGGTACAGAGACGTGCAAGAGCAGAGGCTGGCTTTCTGAAGGTCGGGAGCATGGGGGAGCTCAGCCATCAGGGCTCCAGGCTGAGCCGGCATTCAAGTCCATGGCTGGAAAGAACTATTCATTCATACTTGGGCCGTCAAAGATAAAGCTCTGTACGTTTAAGGGAGATTTTGTGTGTTAATTATGATAATAGCTATCATTATGGGGCTCCTGGTCTGCCAGGCCTTGTGCTAAGTGCCTTATTTGCATAGACTCTATTAAGCCTTGTCTTCATTGACAGATACCCTGTGTAATCGAGACCATTCTCATCACCATCTTGTACGTGAGAAAACAGGCATACCAGAAGGCCACCCAGCTTGAAAGTGGTGTGGCCAGGATTCGAACCCAGGTGGTGGGATTCCAGAGCCTCATGCTGAACTGTCCTTGTAAGTCTCACTCTGCAAAAGAGTCTTTCCTGAGGCTGGGCACATCTATTAAATAACACATATATGAAAATTCAAAGGCATTTTCCGAGGCACTACACAAGTGGAACATCTCATGTAAAACCCATAAGATTAACTTTAACCACGAATGTGCAAATAAATCTCCTCTTCGTTTAGTTTACTAATCCCCTGCCTACTCCCAGCTGAAGACTTTGCCCACATTTTTATCCATAGCAGTGACATGGATCAAATAAACCAAATTTTTGTGTATCTGAGCCTTCAGAAATTCCAGGCTGATCTCTGAGTCTTGAACTTCATTGTTCCATTTTGTGGCCAGTTCAGAGGCCACGCTGTGGACATCACACTGTGCCCAAGACAGATTACCTAGGGCAGAGGCCATGGGGGCTTGAAGATATGGCTTGTGCATCCTGGGGTAGTCACTTTACCTCCTGGCAGCCCAATGTCCTTGTCTGACAAAGAAGCTCTAGAACCCCTGCCTGCCCAGGTTGGCAGAGATAACTCTAATCAATGCCATCACTGATTGATCATCCCGTGATGTGCTGGGTACCTGTCCTACCTTATCTAATTTGATCCTCCTAACAACCCTGTAAGGTAGGTGCTAATTGCTACCTGCATTCTGCAGATGAGGAAGCAGAAACTCAAAGGGACAAATGATTTGGCCAGAGTAAGATGGCCAGTAAGTGACATGTGCATATTTGTTCCATACAAGCCCTGTCCTCGAACCACCAACATGCCTGTGGGTGCCCTACAAATGCAAGAGTCTGCAGAAGGTAAGGGCCCAACAGACGAGCCTCTCCCAGCCCCCCAGCTCCAAGCACCTGACCCCCCTGAGCAGCCTGGGTCCCTGCCGCATGCTGTTCTCTTGGTCTTGGACTGACTGCTTAAGAAGTATAGAAGAAAAAAGAATTGAGTGGCTCACGCCTGTAATCCTAGCACTCCTGGAGACTGAGAAGGGAGGATTGCTTGAGCTCAGGGGTTCGAGACCAGTCTGAACAAGAGTGAGACCCTGTCTCTACTAAAAATAGAAACATTAGCCAGGCACAGCAGTACGCACCTGTAGTCCCAGCTACTCGGGAGCCTGAGGCAGGAGGATCGCTTGAGCCCAGGAGTTTGAGGTTGCGGTGAGCTATGATGACGCCACGGCACTCTACCCAGGGTAACAGAGTGATACTCTGTCTCAAGAAAAAAAAGAAGTCACATTCAATAAATCAGTAGGGTGGCTATAGTTTACAATAGTCTATTGTACATTTCTAAATAGCTAGAAGAGAATAATTTGAATGTTTCTAACATAACGAAAAGACAAATATATACATAAAGTGCTGGACATACCAGGTACACCAATTTTGATGTTGACAAATTACATGAATGTATTAAATTGTCACATGTACCCCCAATGACATAGATAAAATAAAATTTAAAAAAACAAAGAGGTTTGGAAGAATCCATCTCCTCTGGCTGTACAAGCCCACTTGTGCCTGATGGTGCCGGTGTCTGGAAACACACCCTCCCCCGACTCCCCAGCCAGCTCCTGCAGCGGCGAGCGCAGGACAGGTGTCTGCCAGGTGTTTATTTGGGAACCCGGTAAGGTTTGGCTCCCGGGGAGGTGGAATCCTGCCGCCGGTGACGCACGGTGGCTTCTCCCGGCACCTGGGCAGAGCATCCCTGCATTCCCGGGCTGGCTCTGGGATCTGCACCGCCACCTGCAGTGCAGCAAGTCCTGAAACACATCAGGCAGATCCGCCGCCACCGCTGAGCTGCCACCGGTAGGAGCTCACTGAGGACTCGCCCCTTCTCCGCAGCTCTCAGCGCCAAATACCGTCACAAGTGCACTCGTGTCGTGCTAGCCCCATTCTAATCGCTTGGCATGTGTTAACTCATCAGTCTTCACAACCACTCTCGCCCGGCCGTACTAGGCTTACTGGGGAAAAGCCCTGGTTTATATTTTTTGTTTGAAAAATTTTTTTAGAGATAGAATCTCCCTAGGTTGCCTGGGCTGGACTGGAAACCCTGGGCTCAAGTGATATATTGTACTACATCATCATATTGTTTGAATTGGTAATAAAAGTACATGGTGAAAAATACAAAAGATAAAAGGATACAAGTCAGCCTATACCCAGGATGGGCAGGCCCCTGCTTTCTCCCTTCAGCCGAGCCAGTTCTGCTCTGACCCGTTGCCATCAGTTGGACCAGACCTTGGGGCAGGACTGTGCAGCTTGGGCTAAGCTGAGGTCTCCAGAGGACCAGCCTCAATTTGCCCCATCCACATAGTAGCTCTGCTTTTTATTTATTTGTTTGTTTGTTTATTTTTGTTTTATTTTTTGAGACAAGGTCTCACTCTGTCGCCCAGGCTGGAGTGTAGTAGTATCGTCATAGCTCACTGCAAACTCAAACTCCTGGGCTCCAGTGATCCTCCCATCTCAGCCCCTGGAGTAACTGGGACTACAGGCACATGCCACCATGCCTGGCCAATTTTGTATCTTTTTGTAGATATGAGGTCTCACTATGTTGCCCAGGCTGGTCTCTAATTCCTGGCCTCAAGTGATCCTCCTGCCTCGGCCTCCCAAAGTGCTGGGTTTATAGCCGCTGCACCTGGCCATACTTTTTATTTTTTACTTAAGAATTATCTTTAAATTAACTCTTAAATTAAATATTTACTTATTTATTTCAAAAATTTAGGGAATACAAGTGTTTTTTGTTACACAGATGAATTGTATACTTTTTGTTAGTTTGTTTCTTTGTTTTCCTCCAAGGTTCTGCTTGAATAATTGTATACTTTAAAAAAAAAACTTAGTGTCACTATCCTAAAAGAGGCATATGGAATAGAGGCATATGCTAAGAATGTAAGCTCTGGTTTGAATCCAAGCTCTTTCCTTTCCTAGCTGTGATTCTCTAAGCAGTAAACTAAAATTCTCTGAACCTGAGTTTCCCTATCTGTAAAATGGGCTGCAAGAACTTCTTTCATAGGGTTGTTGTGAGGATAAAATGAGTTACTGATCAGAAAATATTCACAACGCTGCTTAAAACTTGGTGTTAGCTATTAATTATGGCCACATAATATTCCATTTTGTATGCATACCACAATTTCTTTATCCATTCATCCACTGATGGACACTTAGGTGGATGCCAAATCTTAGCCATGTGAACAGTGCTGCAATAAACATGGGAGTGGCCGGGCGCGGTGGCTCACGCCTGTAATCCTAGCTCTCTGGGAGGCCGAGGCAGGCAGATTGCTCAAGGTCAGGAGTTCGAAACCAGCCTGAGCAAGAGCGACACCCCTGTCTCTACTATAAATAGAAAGAAATTAATTGGCCAACTGATTGGCCAATTAGTCCCAGCTACTCGGGAGGCTGAGGCAGAAGGATTGCTTGAGCCCAGGAGTTTGAGGTTGCTGTGAGCTAGGCTGACGCCACGGCACTCACTCTGGCCTGGGCAACAAAGCGAGACTCTGTCTCAAAATAAATAAATAAATAAACATGGGAGTGCAGATATCTTTTCAATATACCGAATTCCCCTCCTTTGGATAAATACTAGGCAGTGAGATTGCTGGGTCATATGGTAGTTCTATTTTCAGTTTTTTGAGGACCCACCATGCTGTTTTCCACAGTGGTTGCACTAATTTACACACCCACAAACAGTGTACGAGTGTTCCCCTTTCTCCACATCCTCAGCAGCATTCATTACTGCCCGTCTTTTTAATAAAAGCCATTTTAACTGGATGAGATGATATCCCATTGTAGTTTTCATTTGCATTTCTCTGATGAGTAATGATGTTGAGCATTTTTGCATATTGGGTTGCTAGCACAATTGAGGTTTACTGCATAGTAAACTTGGTAGTTTGCTAAACATCGCGAACATAGAAGTTCACTATGCAGTGAACTTCGACTGTGCTAGGAAGCCCGCAGAAAGTAGATGGTGCCTTTGGCTGGGGTAAGCTGAAGGGTTTAATGCAGTAACTGTTTACAAAGGTGGGGTAGAGTTTTAAGAAATTAAGGAGTGATGATGTGGGACCCTAGGGCTGGTAATGAGTGGCAGAAGCTGAAGAGGCAAGGGCAGGCAACAATTGCTGTAAGACGGAAAGACTAGCCACAGGGAGAGGGCTGCATGACGTAGCTGTGACTATTGGTGGAAGGACACACCTAACCTATGTGGCATGGCCGTGAAGCCGTCTGGGGAATAGACACCCCAACTGAATTCTTTTCCCCACCCCATCGCATGATGCCTCCATTGGCCACAGCCCGTCAAAAGCAAATGGGCAACGGAGCCCATTGACTCAGTCCCTGCAAGAAGTGGCCTGGGAACACAGAGCGCGTGGAGGAGTGTGGAAAATGAGTCTGGGCAACCTTTGAAAGTATCCAGCACAGTCTTACCTACTAGTAAAATGTGGTGGGTTTGTGTCTTGAGATTTAGAACAAGACAAATATATCCGCTTCTATTCAGCATTGCTGCCCAGGAAGTAGCCAGTACACTGGGACAAGAAAAAAAAAAGGTGTAGGACTCAAAAAGAAGAAATAAAATAATTAATAACAGGTTATTTGTGCACAGAGAAAATCCAAAATAATATGCAAATAAATTGTTAGAATTAATAATGGGTCTAGCGAGGTTGCTTGACAAAAGGTCAATAAGCAAAAATCGGTTGTGTCTGTATAAACTGGTAACAAATAGCAAAAAATATCAAACACCTAGGCATTAATCTAACAAACAGCAAGACCTTGCAGAAAACAATGAAACACTGTTAAAAGATATAAAAGAAGACGTAAATAAAGACACCTACATGCTAATTTTGTGGATTGGGAGACATTTTAAAGATATCAATGCTTCCCAAACTGATCTGCAGAATTGATCAAATTTTGATCAAAACCTAATAAGGAAGCTGCTCCCAAACCTATGTGGAAAAGTAGATCAGCCCACTACAGAAGACGGGCAGAGGCAGCACCAGAGTGAGTCTTGCAGATTTCCATCTCTGCAATTCCTCACTAAGTTTGTGCTGAGGACACACCTTTTGTGCGCTAGCAGACCTGTCCTTGGGAGACACGGGACCCTTCTGATGGCCAGCATTGGCTCCAGGAATCCCCAGTAACCTTGTGGAAGCTTTCCTTGACTGCACAGTATCCCAGACGGCTTCTACCCAATCTTCTCTTCTCCCCTTTGCTTGGAATCAGATTTGCATCACAATCTGAAAGCCCTCTCAGCCTTAGCAAGCTCCCTCCCTATTTTCTCTCACACAAGCATCTTCCTTAATAAATTTATTAATTTTTAATGTCATCTCAGAGTCTGCTACTTGGAGGACCCAGATTAACACAACAGCCAAGCCGTTCAAGAGGAAGAAAAAGTTGGGAGAACATGTTCTGCTTAATATTAAGATTTCTTATAAAAACCAGTAATTAACGGGCGGGCGTCGGGCAGATGGGAGGGGGAGGAGGGGATGGGTATATACATACATAATGAGTGTGATGCGCACCATCTGGGGGATGGACCCTCTTGAAGCTCTGACTCCGGGGGCTGAGGCAGGTGGATCATTTGAGCTCAGGAGTTCGAGACCAACCTGAGCAAGAGCAAGACCCTGTCTCTACTAAAAATAGAAAGAAATTAGCTGGACAACTAAAAATATATAGAAAAAAATTAGCCGGGCATGATGGCACATGCCTGTAGTCCCAGATACTCGGAGGCTGAGGCAGGAAGATTGCTCGAGCCCAGGAGTTTGAGGGTGCTGTGAGCTAGGTTGATGCCATGGCATTCTAGCCTGGGAAACAGAGCGAGACTCTTGTCTCAAAAAAAAAAAAAAAAAAAAAGGAAAAATCAATTCCATGTGTATTGTAGACCTGAATGTAGAAGAAAATGATAATACTTCTAGAAGATGATATGGGAAACTCTTTTTATAGTTCCAGTGTAAGGGAAAATTTTCTTATCAGGACACAAAATGCACTAACCAATAAGGTAAAGATTGTTTTTCAGACCTCATTAAATAAAGAACTTCTCGTTCACCAAAAACAGCCCTTTAAAGGTTAGAAAGATAAATCAGAGTGGGAGAAGACATTTGCCACACATATAGCTGTGAATGGGATCATGTCCAAAACATAAAAAGAACTCCTAAGAAACAGCAAGAAATAAACATTCCAATAAGAAAATGGCCAAAGTCTTGACAAGAGATCCACAGGACGGACCCAGTCCCATTCATTATCAGGGAAATGCAAATTGAAGCCACTGTGAGGTATCACCTTGTGCCCTCCAGAGTGTATGTGCAGTGCAAAGGTACAAAGACTGACAAACACGTAGGAGTGACAAAGAACATGCAAATGTAGAGTCTTTGAGCTGATGAATCTAAGTGAGGGTGAGGATGGGAAGCAATAAGCACCCGCCTACTGCGGGTGGGAGTGTAATTTTGGTACAACCACTCTGGAAAACATTGGCATTATATACTATAATTGAAGGCAAGAGTGCTCTAGAATTCAGCATTTCTACTTCTAGAGGAACAAGACACATATTTGTAGCAGCATGAATCATTGTAGTACCAAACTGGAAATCACTTTAATGTCCATTAATAGCAGGATAGATACTACATCGTGGGAATTTCATACAATGGACAACTATACCAAAATGAAATGAACACACTACTGAGACATATATGGATAAATTTCTCAAACACAGTGTTGGGATAAAAAAGGAAACCAGTAGTAAGATTTCCATTTTAAAAATGTTCGAAATTAAGCAAAACTAACTGTGTTGCTTAGGGATGAGTACATACATGGTAAAATCATAATGAGGAGAAGCGTGCTTACCATAAAAGTCAGGATGGCGGCATTCTCTGGGAGAAGGGCGGGGGAGCTGTGAGCAGGAAGGGACGGGAGGTGTGGTTGACAGCAGCTGAGAGTGATAAGCAAACATGTGTGTTTGCTTTTTGACTATTTATTAACCTATAAAAGTTTGCTTAGTGTAATTTCCTGAATGTGTGTCATATTTCAAAATAAACAATGCTGACTTGGCTAATTGGTTTGGCAATGAGAACTAGCTTTGCCATCTAGGATATTGGGTGGACATTTTCCAAGGTTTGGATGAAAATATGTTTAAAGCTTGCACTCAGACAAGAGCATTTCATCAAAAATATTATGCTGATAAAGGTAAATTGAGATTTATGTTTGGATTTTTCCCAACTCTGTTTGTGAATAGCAGTTTAAAGCGCCCCTTGGCAAAAGGAACGAGAAGGTAATTAATAGTCCTTTGGTAGGTCTTGGTAAATAGCCTTTTTGATATACTTCCCAGAAATTGAGAACGTGAATTACTCTAATGACTGGGTTTCAAATCCTTGGCAAGTCAATGGTTTCTAATTCTTTGTTTTCAACAAAACAAAAGAACTTAATCTAACTATTAGCTGATAGAATATTAAAAGTAGTTTTGATGATATATCATCACATGATTTTTAGCATGTAACTCAAAATAAGTTCAAAGAATCATAAACAATGCTGTAATAAAATGTGTTCCTTTTCTATTTACTTATTTATGTGAACAAGATTTCTTAGTGCTTACTTCTATATGAACAATAAATAGGAAGAGAAATTAGCTGAACCTTGTTTGATTCTAGCAATGAGTAATATTCAACCATGAGTACATGACCCAATTAGTTGAAAAAAACATTCCATGCATTTCCCAATTTATTTCCTCTTATATTTATTATTTGTAAAATTTTAAAATATACTTACGTTGCTTTGCTCAATTGTATATTCATTGAGATTGTAATATAGCTCAATCCAGGACCAATTTTTAATCCTCAGAGATATAGGATCATAAGAAATAAAAAAGGATTTTAATGTATGTGTTAGTGTGTGTGTGTGTAATTTTATTGTAGAGGCACCGGATAATGTAATCTATAAGAGACTTTCAAGCACAAAAATATTAATACATTAGGATGAAATCCTATAAGGTACGTAGAATGGAAATAAGGGTCCAATAAGAAAAATAAACGATCTCAAGTATAACTGTTAAAGTACATTTTGTTCATGTATTTTTAAATAGGTATTGGTGATATCAGATTATTATAAAATTTGTATTTCTTTGAATACACTTTAGAGAGTGATGTGACAGTTTTAGAATCTTAACAGTTTCAATAAGTCAGAATCACATTCTTTGCAACTATTTAAACTTACAAAATTTTTTTTTTTTTTTTTTTTTGAGACAGAGTCTCGCTTTGTTGCCCAGGCTAGAGTGAGTGCCGTGGCGTCAGCCTAGCTCACAGCAACCTCAAACTCCTGGGCTCGAGTGATCCTTCTGCCTCAGCCTCCCGGGTAGCTGGGACTACAGGCATGCGCCACCATGCCCGGCTAATTTTTTATATATATATCGGTTGGCCAATTAATTTCTTTCTATTTATAGTAGAGACGGGGTCTCGCTCTTGCTCAGGCTGGTTTAGAACTCCTGACCTTGAGCAATCCACCCGCCTCGGCCTCCCAAGAGCTAGGATTACAGGCGTGAGCCACAGCGCCCGGCCTACAAAATTTTTTATATGTCAACTTAAAAATGTGCACAGGGGGATACATAGTTTTTTAAGCCTCATGGCTAATGGTTGATTCTCTCACATGAAATAAATTAGAGAAGGACAGTCCAAACTAGTGTGGCAGCGTTTTGAAATCATTGGCGGCTCAGGATCTTTCAGTCCCTCTGTTCTGCCATCCTTGGAAGGTGGCTTCCACCCTCAAGGCCACATTGTAACTACTGGAGCTGCAGCTGTCATGCCCACAGTCTGGCAATCCCAGGGAAGGGCCATAACAGCTTAACCACGACCCCTACTGAGCCACACCCCACTGGCCACCCTATCTATCAGGGAGCCCAGAAAACGGAATTTTTTCACTGGGCATATTGCCAAGAGTCCTGTCGCCAAGGGAGAAGATGAGAATATATACTTGGCCAGCAACGAGCAGTCTTATTTGCATAGAGTATGATTCCATTTCCATTAAATTATGTATACAGGGTGTATGCAAGTCTCCATACAAAGGAAAAATGTTATAAAATTTGGTATTGAATATTTTGTAAATAAAGGTACATCTCACTATAATTTCCCATCTTCCCTATGTATGGTGACTTTTGGGATATCCTGTATGCATGTGTTTTTATGCTTTGCTGTGTCCGGAAGAATGTTAAGAATGTATTAATGGTTTGTCATTGGGTGAGGGATTTCAAGATTTTTTTTTACTTACTTCTCTGCACTTTTCTATATTACACTTTTTTTACAATAGACATGATCATTCTTATAAAATCATTACAGATATTCTCATAAGTAGAAGCAAACTGAGAAAAAGGAATAAAAAAATCAGAGACCTTAGAGTCAATAGAGTTTAAATTCCACTCTGCAGTAAGATGTAGGTATATATCTTAATCTCTATGAGCCTTTAATTTCCTTGTCTATAAAAGAAAAATCAATTCTATTTTTCTATTATCTTCTGGCTTACATTATTTCTGATGACAAGTCTATAGTCATTCTTATCTTCATTTCACTAAATGTCATATCTTGTCCTCTGGCTGCTTTTAATAGTTTCTCTTTACCAATTGTTTTCAGCAATTATCTGATGTGCATGGTCTAGTTTTCTTTATTTTCTATGTAGTTTACTGAGTTTTCCAGATTTGTGCATTTATGTTTTTATCCTATTTGGAAAAATCCCAGTCATTATTTCTTCAAATATTTTTGCCCCCCCCACCATCTTTCTGGTAAAAATTTTTATATGTCAAATTAAAAATGTCAAAATACGTATGTCAGATCAGTTGATATTGATCCACAGGTCAGTGAGGCTCTGCAAATTTTTTTCTATTTTTATTCTGTATGTGCTTTCATTTCCCTGTCTTTACTGCTTTCCTTCTATAATGTCTAATCTGCTGCTAAGTCTAACCAGGAAATTTTTCATTTCAGATATTCTACTATTCACTCTACAAGTTCCATTTTGTTATTTTTTTATAGCTCCTATCTTTCTTCTTCTTATGTTTATGTTTTCCTTTAAATCTTTGAACATACTTTTAAAAAGCTATTTGAAAGTTCACGCCTGTCAATTCCATCATCTCTGTCATTTTAGTTGTGTTTCTATTAACTGATTTTTTTCCCCGATCTTTAATACCTGCCAGACATTATAAACTGTATGTCTTAGAGTGTTGGAAGTTGTTGTCTCCCTTTAAAGAATATTGTTTTGTTCTGACAAAAGATTAAGTTACTTGTGAATCTACCTGCTACATTAGAAGCTTAATAAAAAGCTTTGTTAAAGTGCATCTAGAATGGCCTTTACTTTAGGGATACTTTAGCCCTTCCTCTAAGATGTGGTCTTTCTCAAGTCACTACTAAATGTCCCCAGTGCTCAAGGTGGTCTCTCCACTCTGGTTGGTCAGAACTCAAATGTCTCCTACCTTGTGAGTTCTCTAATAGTTATTCAGCTGCCTGGTGGTTGTTTCCCAGCATTTGTTCTTTGCCTGACCTCCTGAGGTCACCCTACACACGTGTGGCTTAGTATTTAGCCAAAAAGGCTTAAGAGGATCCCTTTTTCTCCTCTTGTATTTTATTGAGACATAATTCACATACCATAAAATTGACCATTTAAAAGTGTTTAATTCAGTGGCTTCTAATATATTTTCAGGGTGTGCAACCATCACTACTCTATAATTCCAGAACATTTTGATCACCTCAAGGGGATCCTTTTGCAGATTTATGGAGCTCTATGTCTGCATAGCTTTCTCCTTTCCAGTATTCCGCCCTATAAATGACAGCTGCCTCAGCCTCCCTAAACTCAGTGCTCTGTTTCTCCGGCTCAGTGAGATTGGCGTGCTGTGCTGGGACCGCTCTTCCTGTGCTGGGGTCTGGTGAGAGCCTCCCAGGAGAAAGCCGGGGCAATCGGAGGGCTCATTTCCCAGGGATCACAGTCCTCTGGTGCCTGTTGTCCACGTCTGAAAACAATTATTTTGTGTATTTAACCAGTTGGGTAGTTATTTGTGCAAGGAGGGTTAATCTGATATAATTACTCCATCATGGCCAGAAGTGGAAATCTCAATTTATTCAATTTTGGGGAAGATAAAACCAGCTTGTCACAGTGCTTGGCTATAATAAACACTAAACAAATCATAATTGTTATTGACTTACTTTTCTGTATCACAGAAGTGGACATTGTAGTTATCTTCTCAATATCTCTGTCCTTCTGCCATTGTGTTGTTGCCACAAAATTGAGGGGAAGGACGAAGTGGCCTCAGTTATAGCTTCAGACTGGACCTGAAGCCAACTGGTGTCATCCTATCCCCCTGCCATACTAATTAGTTCAGTTAAACCAGGCCTAAGTCAATTAGTACAGGACACTCTCCTGGCCACGTGGATGGCTCTGGAATGGGAATTTTTGGAGTGGGGGTATGAATGTGTCTTCACCTCTCCTAATGTTTCATTCCTCTGAAGGAAAATCCATTAGCCTGGCCTCTCCCTTTACTTGCTTCTCCCCAAGAGAGGCAGAGTAACCCACCTAAATTTAGGAAATCTGGGAAGAACAAATTGCGCATGCTCAGTCAGCACATCTCTTCGTCCTCTTAGGAGTAAGCTGCCCATGGGGATCACAGAGCTACGTCTGCTCCTCCGCCCTGGAGTCTTCCCTACATGGTGAGTTTCCATGGACACCTGGTTACTTCCACAGAGTGCGCGGGTTGCCCAGGTTCTGGGTTCTGGGAGCAGGTCCATTGCTTTTGTCCCAGATGATAGCCTCCACCTGTATCAGGACTAGAGTTAACATTCCACTCTTCTGTTTTATATATCAAGTTTTTTGTAACTCAGAGACAAAGAATGCTACTGACTGGGGCCTCCTCAGAGACCATAACAGATACATGACCCAGCTCGGGCCTGTGAGATACAAGGGCAGGTTTGGGGGATGCTTTGGGGAAATTTTCCTCCTTCCAAAGAGTTTCTCTTACTGTGGCTAGAGTGAGAACTCGTGAATCCTGCAGCCACGTCAGCCCAAACCTCAGGATGAAGCCAGCGTCAGGAGGAGAGAGCTGAGAGAAGCGTGGAGAAACCACGGTACCAACGCCTGCCTAGTCCTGGACTTTTCATTCACAGGAACTAATATGTCTCCCGTATTATTTAAGCCAGTGCTATGGTTGGAATGTTTGTCCCCTTGAAAACTTGCGTTGAAATTTGATTGGCATTGCAACAGTATTAAGAAGAGGTGGGACCTTTAAGAGGTGATTAGGCCGTGAGGGCTCTGCTTTCCTGGGTGAGATTAATGCCATTATAAAAGGGCAAGCTCAGCCCCCATTTGTTTTTCTCTCGCCCTCCCTTTGCCCTTCCACCTTCCGCCATGGGATGACGCAGCAAGAAGGGCCTTGTCACATGCAGGTGCCTCGATATTGAACTTCCCAGCTTCTAGAATTGTGAGCCAATACATTTCTGTTCATTATAAATTACCCAGGCTCAGGCATTCTGTTATAGCAGCACAAAACAGACCAAGACAGCCAATTTGGGTTTTGTTTTCTTTCATTTGGTTGCTGAACGCATCCTAGTAGATATAATCACTACTCAGTTTGAAATTACTTTTATTTATATCATCTCGTTTGATCTTGAAAAAAAAAATCTATCAAAGTGGTCAAGGGTTATAATAGATGAGGAAGTTGAGAGCCAGGAACGTAAGTTGACTTGCTCAAGGTCACATGCTAGAAAAATGGCAGACAGGGATGGGACTCAAACCCAGTTTTCCTTGATCTGAGTTCAGTGTGCTTCCCACTGGGCCACAGTGTCTGCATGGATTGACAAGCAGAAGATGTTATGACTTAAGAGGGGTTGTCCACATATAGATACACTATGGTCTGAATGTTCATGTTCCCCCAAACTCATATGTTGAAATTAATCCCTAATGTGATAGTATTTTGAGATGGGGCCTTTGGGAGGTGATCAAGTGGCACCTTCATGAAGGGGATTAGTGCCCTTATAAAAGAGACCCTAGAAAGCTAGCTCACCCTTTCCACCATGTGAGGACATAGTGAGAAGGTGCCATCTATGAACCAGGAAGCAGGTCCTCACCAGACACCAAATCTGGCAGTGCCTTGATCTTGGACTTCCCAGCCTCCAGAGCTGTGAGAAACAAACTTCTGTTGTTTGTAAGCCCCCCACTCCCCCACCCCCCCCCATCTATGGTCTATGGTATTTTGTTATAGCAGTCTGAAGCCACACTGGGGTGTAGCCAAAACTTTGGTGCTGACATCATAGAGGGCAGTGGCTGTAGCCTCCCCAAATCATCCCCTGGGATCTTGGTCTTCTAGGACTCTGAGGCATTCATAACTGAGCACTCAATGTGGAGTTTGGATGGGGATCCCACTCACTAATGGAGAGACCCCTGGAGGAGCCCAACGAGGTGTTTCCAGGAGCCTGGGAGTGACTCTGGTGAGAATCCATGAGTCTGGGCCTGAAGGTTGGCATTTGTAAATTCAACCTAAAAGCTAAAAAGAAATCTTGAAGACTATTTTGTGAATATCAGCAGCATCAGCATCCATCCTAGGAAACCGCTTCCCCAAGCCACTCACAGAAATTTGAAATTCCAGGAGAGTAATTCTTTCAACTTTACACAATTGTGGCAACTCCCACCTCACCCCTCACCACCCCTGGGGAGCAGGGAGCTATTAAGCATTAATAGTCACTTCTTGTTCATTGTGATTGAGTCATTGCTCCTTTCCCAAAAGACAGGGAAGTATTGGGGGGAGTATTGGGGGTCTTGGGCAATGTAGGAAGGATCCCCAAAAGGATGGGTGATGTTTCCATGGCATTGGAAGCACCTGCTTTCTGGGTGTCCCTGAGCCTTCCTCTTAACTGACCTGGGACAAAGCAGTCACCATTGGACTTGAGGAAGTGGCAAAAAGCCCACTAAACCAGTCTGAATCTAGGAGGAATTATTCCTTCCCCTCCCACTGTTCCTCCCAAGGCCCACCATGCAGAAAAAGAATGCCAACAGGAAGAAACATTTCCATGTCCATCTATTGTCCTTAGAGACTCTTTAATCCTACTGCTTTGATGTCAGGGGCTGGGGCGGGTGACCTGAGTCCTGCTGTGATGGGGAGGGGCTGACCCTAAGCCAAAGGTGGAGGCCACAGCGGTTGACTTGCCTGCAGCTTTCTTGGAGACACTTGGGTTTCCCAGGGTTTATCAGGCAGAAGGATAGAAGCAAGAGGAACAAAATGTGAACCGACCAGCCTTTGGGGGAGAACATCATGATCAACCTGAAGTTAAGTGAACAAAACTGGCCACATTGGGTCAATAAAAGGGACAATAAAAACCAAAAAAGATCTCTTCTTATTTTGTGGGATACAATTCAGTGGAGTCTAACAGATCTGGTTTTGAATCCAGGCTCTGCTGCTCCCTAATGGTGTAACCTCAGACAAGCTACTTATACTCTGTATCTCAGATTCCTCTAAAGAAGAGGTTATGGTAATGGCACTATCTCACAGAGTTCTTAAATGAGACAGTGCACATGAAGCACTTGACATAGGGCTTGGCGCATAGTACATGCTCATTAAGTGGTGGCTCTTATTTTTATTTGTGTTGGATCAATGAAAAGAAATGGGAAATTTTGCAAAGAGAAGAAAAGCAGTAATTGAGGGCAGGGGGAATTGCCGGAGCATTTTTTTTGAACATTAATAATAACATTGCAAACACAGTAAATGGTTACCAGATCTATGTTTGAGCCAGCAATGTGTTTAATAAGGCTTATTGATTGGATCTAAGGTCCTTCTGGGGCTTTCACAGAGCGTGGGGCTGAGTTCTACCTTCTGCTTATTGCTACCTTATTGCTTCTGATACCTGTGGCTGACTCCCCACGGCAGGCTGACTCCGCACTGCGTGGAGAAGAGTGCACTCATTTGCAAAAGAGTCTCAGTGGGTCCCTTGGAGAGTCAGCTCTTGGCTCCACCAAGTCCCCATCTTCCCTTGTCATCACCAACCAGCCCCTTGGTCTCCTCCTGGAGCCCTGCCTTTGGCATCCCCAATAGGCTCCTGGCAGTAACTCTCCCGGGTCATTTCATTGCATGGCCTTTATGGGTCATCTGGGCCAAGCTCCTCACTGACAAAGCATTGAGGACCAGGGAAGGGACAGATTTGCCCAGGTTTGCACAGGAGGCCTGGGGTTGCTGTGGGGCTCAGCCAGGTCTGGGGAGCCCAGAACAGTGTGTACCCACCCGCTCCCAGTAACAATGTGCTCGTCAATATGCAGACGGCTCACAAAGGCTCACACGTGTGTCCCATGCATGGAAGCTGGCTTAGCAAACATTGGTAAGTGGCAGCTCTTGCTATCATTACTGTCACTGTTGTATCTCATATCTTCATACCATTCTCAAGTCATGGTGGGGATCAGCACCTCTGTGCTACAAGAGGAAACTAAGTTTCACACCTTAGTTTGAAAGACATTTTAAAAACCCTGTGGTTAGTAAGGAGCCCAGCAATACCAGCACCCCAGCCCTCTCATCCCAAATTCCTTCTTCCTGCAGGGACATAGGCCCTCAGAGGACGAGATGCTTGCCTGGCAGTGACCACAGCGCTCTGCCAAGAGTTCAGGTGCCAGGCCCTTAGCCAAACAGCAGGACAAAGACAATAAGTCAGTCCCCCAGTGGCCCAAAGATGTGGGCACTGCGAACCCATCCTGCCACTTCCTCCCACCCGAGAGGTAATCAGAGGCCCTGAATGAAGAGGGCAGGGAGGCCAGCCCAGGCAGACATAGCTGGAAAAACCTGTCATGTTTCCCCAGGGCATCCCATGGGTACCTACTGTGGGCCAAAAAGGCTTGCCTGTGCCCACCAAAACTAGAAGGGTAGCCCACAGGGAAGCAGGCCCAGTCCAGCAGAGCCACACTGGCAGGAGCAAGGACAGAAGCTGGGGTGCAGCCCCCCATACCAGGCACCTCCGCCCCTTGCCCGTGCACTCAGACACATCAACAGAAAAGACCCTCTCCGCCAGAGTCACTGGAGCAGCTGCCGGGACAGGCGGCTAGGGAAGGGAAGTACTTACCAAAGGGGAGCATGGCCCTGCCTCCTCAGCCTCTAATGCTCGGTTGTCACCCCGGGCTCCACTGGGCGCCTGCGGAACCCTGCAGCAGGGGGTAGAACTGGGGAAGACTCAGACATATTTTTCCTGTCCAGAGGGAAAATCGGATTTCATCAGATTCTTAATCCTTTCATGCAGGACACCACCTTGCACACGGACAGGTGGAAATATACTCCCCCCCTGCCCCCAGCTCCTGGGTCCCTGAAATGTGAGTGACAAACAGGGAGGAGATCGGATACACCCCTGGAAAACAAGGAGTCCCCAAGGTCCCATGTCCAGTCCCTCTTCTCACTTTTCAAGCCCTAACTCTTCCTTGCCTCCAGGTCTCAGCTTGGGTGTCTCCTCCTCCAGGGAGTGCTCCGTGATCTCCCTGAGCTGGATTAAGGGCCCTACAACAACAAAACAGTTAAATGTAAACAGTTAAGATGCGCATCACTTCTCACACCGTGTGGCAATTGCTTTCTCAGTTGGCCGTGGCCCCCACCAAACCGCAGATCCCTGTTCTGTTCTCCGCCCCTGCCAAGGAGCCGGTCCCAGGGCAGTACCAGCCCCAAGCGAGTGAATGAGCGAGTGAATGAACAAAGGGTAGCCCGGAGTCCGGCTGCTCTCGGATAACCCACATCGCCAAGGAGAATTCTGCATTTTATTTTTGAGAAAGTAGAGCTTAGGGGGACTTTGAAGCTCCGTGGTTCGCTGCTGTTGGTTTACAGATGAGGGAAGAGGCCGGAGTCCGCAGGAAGACCGATTCCGGCAAATCTGGGGCCTCAGTTTCCCTCCGCTGGAGGAGGGCGCGACAGGAGGGGACTAGCGCCCTGCGCTCCCAGAGGCAGACGGAGGCCCAGGCCTCGCCCATTTCTGAGGCCCTGGCTCGTATAAAAATGAAGAAACGGACAGCTGCTGCCCAAGGCGGTGGCGCATCCGAAACGCATGCACGTTTGAACGTGGCGTTGTGTTCGCCTAGTCGGTTGCGTCATTGCAGCTCCCTGGGCGTGCCACGCTCCCCTGGGGGACCGCGCCCGAAGTCTGACATGGGGGCGCGATGCCCAACCCAGGCTGGCGGGCGCTGCGCGTCCTGCCGCGCTGGAGCTGTGTGGCCGTCCTGGCTGTCCCCCCAAAGCAGGGCCCTGACCCCTCGGTGCCGCGCGGGGCGGGACTCGCCAGCGCCACCCTCTCTGCCACCGTCTCGCCGCTGGCCCCCGGGCCTCTCTGCTTGTCGCTTGTCGCCAGTGGCGGGTGCTTCTGCAGCGTGGAGCCCCAGGCGCCTGAGGCGGGGCCACCAGCTCCCCAGCCGGCGACAGCCGCCGCGGAGCCCGCCTGGCCTGCAGACTGGCGCCACCGCCTGGTG